AAAAAAAAAAAAAGAGCCACAATGAGTTATTCTTAGGACATCAGACCTTCTACAAAATTTGACTAAAGCAGCAGTTATAATATCTGGTTTTACAGTTGGCATCTACTATAGCGCCAGCTTAAGTGAATGAGTTACAATGCTGTCCAGTTTAAAGTTAGCTCAATAAACCATTAAATCAAATGACAACCATACAATGATTAAACAGCCAAGAGGTCTTACATTGAGTCCAGCATAACTATTATATTTTTCCTGAGTAATCTTACCTGCACATACAGGTCCTGGTGGTCGTCCACATACTTGAAAAGTTCTGTGAGATGAGACATTTTGTGCCAGCAATGGGATCTGAGGGTTAAACAAGCAGACTGGTGTGAGTCCACCTCTGGGTTTGTGCAATCTTATGAGAGGACAAAGACCACGCCTTCCTGCAAATTTGCTGACTGCTGCTGAATTTGCAGCTCCCATCCTGCACATTAGGTCATGAGACTTAAGCTTGTTTCACATCATAATTTCTCAGATCCACAGCTGCAGCTGATCAGCACTTTAACACCAGGCTTTCAGAACAAAACAGCAAGAAAATGTCAAGAAATGCGAGGCTCATAGTACAAAGTTACAACAACTGACGCAGTAAAGGATAATGCTCAGTTCTGTGCCTTCTGGTCCCTGCTTCTACACTTATCAGATAACCTAAAAGCCACATGCTGATGCAGTAAATTAATTAAGGTAGTTCAACTTTACTGTAAAATGCCTCACTCGCTGAGTAACTGCATTTAAAGTACTGTTTAAACTAAATGTACTTATCATAGAAAATATCATCTCATGTCTTAACAGCTTAGAGTTGTGTGGCGACCAAACATAATCGAGCTGCACAAAAGATAGTAGTTTATTATTTATTAGTATTAAAACAACAGTTAGGTAGACTATGGTTGATAACATGTGTAGACGTGAAAAGATCACTAATTGTGTGAAGAAAGCCATAAACAACAATTAAACCGTTTCGTACTGAGTGAGAAACTGAAAGAAGGTCATGAAAACTTCAGCACACACGGAGGTTACTTTCCACAGGTGTGCACTGAAATTTGGACTCGCCCTTGTTGTTGCACGACCACTCCTCTAGACCATATATCTGAATATTTCCATGCAAAATAGGCACAGAGACTTAGATGTAATAGTTAATATAGTTCTTTTTTTTTAAAGCGGATATAACCTTTTTCGGCTTGGTACCAGCGGGTTTTGTACAGCATGCTATGAAACACGAATAATGAGGTGGTAAAATGGCAAGTGAAGCGAAACTAAGTTGGCTAAGCTAAGCGGGTGCTGGAAGGTAGGTAACGGGTCATTGCCGTTATATCTACCGTCTGGGTTAATGTGACTGAGACCTGATCTAGCCAAATACTTTGGTCATTTCTAAACTGCAAAGAGAAATATTAAAATCTACCTGTCTTGTCAAACAGACTTACTGTGTTTTTATTCCAGATCAGCTGATGTAAACATGTGACTCCGGGCCCTTCTCAGCTGACAAAGACTTCCTGTATTTGCTAACGACGGACAACTCTGAGGTCTGCAGTAAAAAAAAAAAAATTAGCAAAACAACAAAAGCTACTTGTTTTGTGGGGGGGAAAACCCAAAGCGATTCAACTCGTGGGGTAAAAACAACAACCCACCATATGAACTGCTTCAAAGCGCAAAGAATTATGGGTCATCGGAAGCTGCTTCGTCACGGGCGTCTCATCGGGAAAAAAAAATACATTTACTTCTCAATTGTTTTCCCGTTTGTTAAAAATGACAAAAAAATAATTGTTTTTTTATTTTATCTACCAACACCACATAAACATAGTTGCACATCTGTTTCTTTGCATGTTCAAGTTAACGAAATAAAGTTGAAAGAGAAAAATATTTAAGAAATGACTCAAATGTTAAGCAGTATGGCACATGGAAAAAAGCTTTCAATATTTTAAGTATAGCGGACTTTCAGTTCCTCTGGTTTGTATAAAGGACTTTACATGCATATTCATACAAATATAATATTTCTTACAAAATTATTGTTGCGGCTCTTCCAACCAAAGGTCGCTGCAGGTTAAACATGAGGACACAGATGACGCGCAACAATAAACACATGAGATAGACCTCTGTACTATTTGCTCCTTTAATTCCACTGTCCACTATACAAAATCAGAACATGGGATCAAAACATGATACAAATGCAGAGACTGCACAAACAAACGAATGCAACTTGCAAACATTACACCAATTACTATGCCAAACTACAGCCTCTGGCATAAATTAGTGCACTAAACTAAACTCAAGCTGCATGCAAAAAAATAAAAAACTTGCATCAAAATGACTCAAGATGCATTCAACAGAAGGTTTCCCCTCATGCTCAACCTACCTACCTTTCTGCTCAACATCAGGTGCAGTGAACAGGTGAGTGCAACCACATTTATTACCTAACACCCATGAGTCACGCCCCACACCCGTGCACCAATACAATGTGTGCATTTTTAACCAACCCCCCTAATCCAAAAAAGGAACAACTCATATGGCTCCTACAATGTTGTAAATGGATCAAGCTCACTGAAAACTTCTAATTTATAGGGGAGCTCAAATGATGTAGTCTACATGTTAACAGCACACAGCTTTAGGTCATTTACTGATGGATGCTTATACTTTTAACCCGATTTGCAAGATGGGTGTATGTCAGGAAGCTCTGAAGAGGACTTTATTTTAAAAAAAAATAAGGCATGTTAATGACAAGCAGCCACATGTAAATGACAGGCCCAAAGAGGGGAAGCTTTTAAATTTGTGTTATGAAACCAACATCAACCACTGGGGGGAAAGGGGAGGCTACAGGCCAGATTCCTTTAGATTTGTGGGACCACTTGGATGTCACCAATGAATTATCAAAAGGGTCTGCCAGGTATACATCTATAAAGACAATTATTCAAAAGTACAAGTAATTTTAAAGTCTTAAACTGACAGCTGAAGCAATGACCATAAGGCATTGTATCAAGTATTTATTTGGATTGCAAGATGATTTTCCAGTTGTGTGATCAATATGGCTTTGCAGTCTGGCACAATGAGAATCTGAGGAATTGACAGTAACTTGACAGCGACAGGCCAACACTGGTGCAGCTTCACATTTCACACAGTGAATTGAGATCAAATCACATTTAAGTGCTAATCAACCAAGGTCACACCGCCTTTACAGCTCTTCCTCCACACCCTGCTATTTACAAGTTTTAGATGAAGACAAACTTTGGACAGAGTCTGATGGGTTCACCCATCAGTGGGGGGCTCAGACCCACTACTCCATGACTAAAAGAATCAGCTCAGGCATTTCTAGCACATCCCACTGGAATGAGGCCCCAGGACAGACCCAGGTTCCCTTTGAGTACATTATGCAGTATGATGGCAAACTACACTTGAAATTGCACTAAACTTATGGTCATTTTACCTAGACGCAATATTTCTTCTTTGGCTCTCAAAGGAGGCGGACGCACTTTTTCCTCCTCTCCCTTATCATCCCTGCTTATGTCCTTGTCTAGTCTCGTGTTTTGTTTTTGTATTTTCCCTGGAACACTCAGTCTGTTCTCTAAAACCTAAAAGAGGAATTATGGATTGGATCAACTGGTCCCTAAATGCAATTGACACCCCTTTCTCAACGAGAAGTTTGGGCTTGAGTGAGCCCGAGTGCTGAAGATATCTACCTATTCGGAACCATGGTAACAGGGTTCTTGCTGATCGGAGCTGGCTTGGCCCTGACTTATCGAAGAAGAAAGCGGAACAGGCTGTTCAAACCCCCACAAGGCTGCCCGCTGGGATTGGAACGATGGGAGAGGCGTGAGTCTCTCAAAATGGGCTCATTGAGTCAGCACGGATAAGATCTTGGAGAGGCTACGGCTGCTGTGAATACTCAGAATAAGATCTGACTGCAGACTGGATACATCTCGGAAGGGCTAGCCCGGAATAACATCTCTGGGTGCAAAATTGGATGACATCTTGGGGAGGCACACTGCCGTGAGTTCTCAGAAATCAGCTCCTTGAGCACAAGAAATGACATCACAGAACGCAAGTATGGCGAAGCTCACGGCTCTCCAACAGGACCAGTGTTGGACTGTAGAACTGCTTTGAAATATGAGCTGTTCGCACTATAGTTTAAAAAAAAAAAAAAAAAACCAAAAAAAAACCCCCACACACTTCATGCGGATACCCTCTCTGCGCCAGCTACAAGGCTTGAGCTGAACAAAACACTCTGATAACGACTGTTTACTCTGTTCCTTCCCATTCCATGCAAGGCCACCTGGGTTGGCTGGAAGACTGTTTACTTAGCCTGGCAGGGCGAAGGACACCGTCTCAGCTGAACTATGGACACTCAGACATATACCGATAAGCACTCACTGACTCATCACCCTCCCTACCCTGGATCCGACGCCACCTCAAATGCTTACCTCCCCTCTGATGTGGACATCGGGTCAGTTGGAGGCGCAGTCAAAAGATTGCAGCGGTCCTAGATCAGATGTACACACTGGCACTCTTTCCCATGTTGCTTGTCTGCGTTTATTGTGCTATGGTGTGTTGATATCTGTGCATTCCTGTATTATCCTTTTGTGTTACACATTTCGATGTTTTTCCCTCGCTACCTAGCCTGACCCGTCTCCCCAATGTGATGTTTGTGTATTGTATGTACGGTCGGCAATGTCTGTCATCTCTGTTGCGGGCAAAAGACCTGCAACTGACAAATAAAGGCTCTCATCTCATGTGTTTGCTCAATGTTTCCATTGTGTAGCATGCACCGCAGTCTTTGATTGCTGATCACTGAATTGTGTCATGTTTTAGTGCTTGATAAGTTCAATAAACAACATTTCAATGTCTGGATCTGAAATGCCAAACCCTGAGTTCCACACTAGTTATACCTTGCAGTTCTTAATGATGACAAAAGATCCATGCATAGTGAATTAAAAGGCTTTATTTTCTTAGTTAAATCACAATGTTAGTTTCCAGATCAAATCCTTATTGAACCTGGAAGAAAATGAATCCAATTAGACCATTAAACAAGTTGCAAATTATCACCAAGATTTAGAGACTCACCCTCCCATCAAAGCACTGCTCATCACATCTCTTTTCTGCTGGCAGACAAACTTCTGCAGAGCACATGAAATAAATCTGGCAGGGAATGAACACCGAGTAAAACAAAGTTAATCTTTCAATATCCAAGGCAAACATTGACTTTAAAAACTGTTTTCTGCTTAGAACCCAGACAACCTTTTTTTTTTTTAAACACATGTAAATTAGGAACTGTTCCAGCATTAACTCCTCCAACTCACCTCTTCATTTAGGTACTTGTTTGTCCTTTGATCCATGAACTGGAAGGCACTCACTATAAAGCGTTTTTCATGATTCACTCCAGGAACATTGCTGACTTTAAGTATGGACACATGTGGATCATGAGGATTGGCACACCTGCAGACAAGCATAACTTGCAGTCAGAAGTTCAAGATAACCTTCAGGCTCTAAAAGGTTGATGGTCGTGCTTACCCTTCATAGATTAGCACCAGAGCATTTTTTGCAGAACGAGGATATGCCAGGCAGTAATTTACAATAATTATTGCATCTGCGTTAGGAGAGCTGAGGCGCAATTCAAGATACACAGGGCGGCCGAGGAGCAGCCGCAAGGGCTGATGGTGATGGTCATAGAAACTTGAATAAGTCTCATCTGTTGGGATGAAACAGAAGGCATTTAGCCAGTCTTACACCAGCAAAGTTTGTCAAGCCTGTCTACTGTAGTTTGTTGGAAAGACAATGCAATGCCCAACCTTTGGCAATTCTCAACTCGACACCATATAAACTGTTAGAGATGACTGAAGAAGGCATACTGGAAGGTGGGGTCTTCACCATGTAGCCAACACTAGCCATTGATTGAGCAGTGCCCCATTTGTTATAGCGGCACTCAATCAGAAATCTACAAGAGATCAAATAAGCCATTAATACCACGTGCCAGTCTAGAACACAGCATACTGCTCACCATGTGCCCCTGCCCCTCAGTCTGTTAGATTTGTGTTTGCATATTAAAATCTAGCACAAGCCACTAACCTGAGTGGATCAGTTCTTGTAATGACACCATACTTTAGATTGAGAGCAAGAACAATACTCTGCACTTCAGCCAGGTATATCGTCACCTCACCAACATCCTGTCAACACAAGTTACATTGGATGATTTACTTACTGAGGTGCAATTTACAAGAATACAAGCCAGCACGTTAAAAGCCAAGTGTCTGCTTAAGTCTCAAAACCTTTGTACCTTTTAGGAGAACCTCATACCAGTGACAGTTTAGATTAAAAGTTGATTCTGACAGATGGTGCATGGAAGAGTTCAGACAGTCAACAAGCTTTAGACATGTCATACTAGAGACATCCTTCCAGTTTAAGCTGCATAAACCCCCCAATCTGTCAGCAGTACTGCCCCCTGTACTGCTGCCTGCTATTTAGCAGTAAAACGTGTAGGCTGTTGCAGTGGCAAATCAGGGTGATAGCTGGTCATGACCGCTCATTAAAATTAGTCCTGCAGTAGCATATACCAACATCTCCAAGTCAAGCACCAAAGCATTCTTATTCCAGATTTGGACATATACCAGGTTGCCGCCAAAAAGTCAAAGCATTCCTACAAAGTTTGCCAAGTAACAGCTTTGCTGGAGGGGTAACTTACGTAAGAATGGGTTCCACATTCTGTAACTTTGAACTTAAAGATGGCGACCTGGTTGTTAACAATGGCTGGTTTACACTCTGGATTTCCAGGAACAATCAGTCTGGTAGGATCCACAGGGATGGATGCAGAGTTGTACCGAATGGCAAATACAAAATGTTGATCCACTGTGCACTCTACAGGAGAGGATAGAAAAAAGCCACTTAAGTTTCACGGATTAAAAATTCAACATTTATACCATCTGTCAAAAACTAGCCTTACCTTCAAGTGGGTAGTAGCAGACAGACGCTAGCAAATCCACACAACAGCCCATGGCCCGACATTCTGAGACAGATATTCCATAATGACCA